CCTTCATCAGCCAGTTCTAATGACCCTGGTGACAATTAGGAATTTCTCACTTTGGAGGGATTTCCTCTCACTTCCTGTTTTAGCAATGGGACAGGAAGTAAAGAGAAATCTCCCCAATAGGACTCAGATGGTTAAAATACCTGATAGTTAACATACCTGACAAATAATTCTGGGAATGCATTTTCAGAGATTAAATCCTCCATTTCATCAGCCAGGCTGATGTTCTGGTGACCCTGGGGACAACTAGGGATTTTCTCACTTTGGAGGGATTTCTTCTCACTTCCTGTTTTGGCAATGGAACAGGAAGTGAAGGAAAATCTCCCCAATGGGACACAGATGGTTAAAAATACCTGACAGGGGTTATAACCCTTCATTACTTTATCCCTCAAAAAATGCCTTTAGTACTGCTTTATGTTTTCCTACAAACTGTTGTTGTGTGTTTTCTATATTATCTGGGTGTGTATTTAAAGTATAATGGGTGGTAACCACCAAGGTAATTTAATCCCCGGAATGCCCGCTGCATTTCATCCAATCTTTGAAGAATGCAGAGGTGATATATTTTATTTTTTTTTACAGTCCATTATGGCAATTGTATTGTCACGTCTCGCAAGAGAAGCACATTATTTCTACACATGACCCACAAATAAATAGATACCAAAGCTTGGGCTATTCCAAGCAATTTGCTAACCTGTACATTGTGTATTGATTCTATGATCATATAATAGAGGTACATTAAACAACCCAGTGTGAATGATGGATATTCATGTTCCCGTGATGTAGGATACTTTCCCAGGTTTCAGGATGAAAACTTCCCACATGGCAGATAAACTTCTACAAGTGGGTAACTGGAAGCACAGGGAAGAGTTGTTGCATAGACACAAGGGATTATTTACTAAACCTGGGGAGTGCAGAATCAGGCTCTCTTCTACATAGAAACCAATCAGCTTCCAGGTGTTATTGCCAAAGCCTAATTAAACAAGCTGAGGTTAGAAGCCGATTGGTTTCTTAGCAGAAGTGAGCCTGATTTTGCATTTTCCAGCTTTAGTAAATAAACCCCGCAGTTATACAAATAAAGTTTTTGGCAGGCAACCAGCCCAAACAAGGAATGTCTTCATAAGTATTATTTAACCTTTTGGGTACCAGAACCTTTACCTTCATATAACCCTTTACGGTTTGGCTTTCGTTCACAACACTCCCACTGAAACTGCCCTACTAAAACTCACTAATGATCTACTAACCGCTAAAACCAATGGCCACTACTCCGTACTCTTACTACTTGACCTCTCTGTGGCTTTTGATACTGTTGACCATCCCCTCCTCCTCAAAAAACTCCACTCTCTTTGGCCTCTGAGACTCTGCTCTCTCCTGGTTCTCCTCCTACCTATCGCAGCGCTCCTTCAGCGTTACCTATAACTCTGGCTCCTCCTCTCCACTCCCTCTTTCTGTAGGGGTCCCTCAAGGTTCTGTCCTTGGACCCCTACTCTGCTCCATGACCCCTTCAGTCTCTCCCATCTCGCATTACTAACCTAGTAAGCGACATATCGGCATGGATGTCACTCCATTTCCTCAAATTTAATCTTTCCAAAACTGAGCTCCTTAGTATTCCCTCCAGCCTGCGCCCCCCTCCCCTGACTTCTCCATCAAGATCAATAACACAACCATCAGTTCCTCCCCTCATGCCAGGGTACTAGGTGTAATCCTAGACTCCCATCTGTCCTTTCAGCCCCAAATCTAATCGCTGTCCAAATCATGTAGACTTCACCTCCGCAACATCTCCAAGATACGCCAGTTCTTATCCTCGGAAACTATTAAGCCACTTATTCACTCCCTTGCTATCTCTCGTCTTGACTATTGTAACCCCCTCCTCATTGGCCTACCTCATCGCAGGCTATCCCCTCTTCAGTCTATCATGAGTGCTGCTGCCAGACTCATCCACCTTGTTAACCGTTCTGTATCTGCCACCCCTCTCTGCCAATCCCTCCACTGGCTTCCCATTGCCCAATGGATAAAATTCAAAACATTAACAATAACATATAAAGCCATTTATAACTCTGCCTCAAATTACATCACCAATCTTGTCTCCAAATATCACCCAAACCGTACTCTCCGCTCCTCGCACGACCTCCTGCTCTCTAGCTCTCGTCTCCTCCTCGCATGCTCATCTCCAGGACTTCTCCAGAGCTTCCCCCATCCTCTGGAGCTCTCCACCCCAATTTATCATACTATCGCCTACTCTGCTCACTTTAAGGTGATCTCTGAAAACCTCTCTCTTCAGGGAAGCCTATCCTGCCCTCAGCTAATAATGGAATCTTCTACTCCTCCTACCAGTCCATCCCCCACAGTTACTACCTTTTGTACCACTAGCCCCTCCCTTCTAGATTGTAAGCTCCAAGGAGCAGGGCCCTCCTATCCCTCTTGTATTGAACTGTATTGTTGCTATATTGTCTCCCTTTATATTATAAAGCGTTGAGCAAACTATTGGTGCTATATAAATCTGATATAATAATAATAATAATATAACCCTCTTAGTTCCCAGAACATTTTTTCCACTCTAAGAGGTCCCAGATATACCTTTAAACTTTTGTAGCCTACTCTAACCTACATTTTTTATTTGCTAGATTCTAATTAGGAAGAAATAATTAAATATTAGAAAAAAAAAAACATTTTCCGGTCTATTCTTTTAACAAAACGTTTGCGTAATTTGCACATCCCCTATAACCGTAAAGGTCTTTTAATTGAAAGGATATCACATAATTGAGATTCTCATGTAAAGTAGCAGAATTGTAAATTTGGCCAATTTTTAGAAATTTTGCCAAGGCACGCCTGCAAAAACCTCAAGGCACCCTGGTTGAAAAAGACTGATCTAGAGCATTACATGTATTTTTTGGAACCTGGGAATTAGTGCAGGAAGGAGTTTTTAAATTACATTATTTAATCATTTTTAATAAATATACAGTGTTTATAGTCATGTGAAAAAGTAAGTACACCCTCTGGAAATTTTCAACCATTTACACCCAGAGAGAGAGAAAGAAAATGACAGATATTTTTTTTTTATCTTTCTCTATTTCACTTTTTCAGAGAGAGTCTGTTCCTGCTCAGGCTCTGCACCAAAAAAAAGATAAATCTCATTATGATCTATTGCTAGCTGTAATCAGCCAGGAATAGATCACCATAACAACGCAAAAGCATTGTGTATATAGTCGACACTATGGAGTGCTTCTATGGAGTGCTCTTTAGCAGGATCCAAAGCCCAGAAGCTGATCGATTCAACTTCTAGGCTTATCACTAGACTGCAGATTTCACTGACAGCTAGGGATTCCAGTGCTAAAGCCTACCAGGACCGCCTAGAGCTAAAACGTCCAGCTCTGCGACAAACAGAAACTGCACAAGCATCATTTTAAAATGGCACCTGGGACCCAAGTGGTTAAAGGAAACCTGTCATGAGAATAACAGAGAGACTTAAACTGGCTACCTGTTAACAATGCTGGTATGCCTATCATGTCTTCAGCACTTTGAAATCACTGATAAAAAAAAACAAGCCAGCTGCTAATGAAGTTGTAACTCATTTATCTTCGATTGTAAGCTCCTAACCCTCTTGTATTGTTGCTGTATTGTCTCCCGTTATATTATAAAAGAGCTGAGCAAACTGTTGGTGCTATATAAATCCTGTATAATAATAATTTATCTATCCCTCACTGCATCTTCTTGCTACCTTCCAGCCTATACTATTGTTTAGGACTTCAGTTGACAGTTGTCCACCCAACATCACCACATTCCACTGTTTTCCCTGTTTACATTGTTCCCCTATATAGTTCCCTAAATGCAACCCAACTGAAACTCATTTCTTGCTGTTATCAGTTAGCTAATTCTTCATTACCACCAGTCCCTAACATTGCTACTCTTTCCAGTCTAGTGTTACTATTCATAAATTTGCTCTGCTGCACTTAAAGTTTGGGCAAGTATTCAACTATGTCTGATAAATGCTGTATGCAATTTCTGATTTGTATGCTAGCACCAACCATGACTGGTCTTTTACTAAACCAGCATGCCTACTGTTACAACCATATTTGAATATGAAGCCTCAGATACGCCTTAAAACATTTACTTGTTAATAAGCTCTAGAAGGGCGGTGGTGAACTATTATAATGCCATCAAAGTTTACTAGCTTTATAACTATGTAGTGCTCTACTTGCATAGCCTGCAACTAAATTCAATATACGTGTGAACTGAGTATAACTTAAGGTTACTGGATTGGAAAAACTAAATCCGGGGACCCCCTACTGAACACGCCTACAAACCACAACCTCATTTGTAGCCACACACACAAAACTACCCCAGTTGTGAAGCTGGGATGCAGAATGGGATTGTTGCGGCAGGCCACTGAGAATTGTGGGTATGGAGAAATTGCTGTAACAGTGGGAAGGGTTTAAAAGGGTATGGTTAAATTACACCTGAACCTATGCTGCTATGGATCTAGAGAGTGTAAAGCATAGATTACAGGGTCAGGAGTAAGTAATGCAGGGCGTTCAGGGGTCAGTATTAAGTAACATCCATAGTTCATGGGTCAGGATTATGAGTTCAGGTTAGTAGGCCAAACTGGGTAGTTTGGTCCAGTTGTAACAGGAGATACAACAATGTGATCAGATTTTTACAAGCTGTCATTGCTCAGACCAGACTGTAATAGGGGACACACATTTTGACCTCAGTCATGTAGGTTTAGCTGTTTTTTTGCAGCTTGTAAAATGGTTCCATACTCAGGCTAATGTATCTGTACGTAGGGGAAACTTATAGAGGCATAATAAAGCTAAGGAATGTAAGAAATGCCCTAGCCAACTTCTGCTGCTGTTGAAAACGGTAAACTTATTGATGTTCTGGTGTGTATAAAAACAGTACCTGCTGTGTTTAGTAGCTACAATTTTGATTTTTTTAGTTCACCCAGGTATAAAGCATTGAGTTTATAGTGTGTTATTTAATAAATGCTATACATGAGATGGACTGACCTTCTTAAGCTTTGCCTTGGTAATTGACAGATCTCTTGTAAAATCAGATGCTGCTTGACAGTTCCAGTCAACCTGGGCACAGGGGAATAGCATTTCACCAATGAAACCTTCCCTCTGAGTGTTCCGATCCCTTGAATATACTGCTAGCCTCAGGGTCCGATCCTTCAGATTCTCTGGACTATATCTGTAGAAAGCAAACTTTTGTCCTCTATCTGAATCTTCTGTTGGCCCATACTGTGGCTCTAGAAACCCAGGAAGGAGATAGGCTCTGACAAATGAGTCTTTCTTTCGATGCAACCTTTTTGGAAGATTGGAGAAGCCAGTTACAATAATAGTTAGAGCTTCTTCACTCAGTGAGTAATGTAGGGTAAAGTGCACAAGTGGCTGAGCCTTCTGCTTGATCCCTGAGAATCCATCAGGTTCAGTATGAGAGAGTGGCATCTTCACCAAACTGGCTCGATCACCCTCTAAAGAACCATCCCCAAAAACAGTGCTTCTGCGTTTCAAAACATGCTTGGTCTTTCTTGGTAGCTGGTAAAGACTTGGCAGAGAAGCTCTAACACGAATACATCTGTCAGATACAGCATTTTGCTCCTGTGGAACTGGTTGTGCATCATCTCCTCTGGGTGTAATGTTCCCATCCAGAGTCTTATATTGAGTGTATACAGGCACTGAAATGGACCTTTCTGAGTTATCAGACAGCTCAAGGCTTTTACTGTCCTGCAGTACAGAGTCATTTTCAAGGTTGGTTGAAGATTGCTGCCTTCGTCTCTTGTGCCAACAGATGGCACAGCCCAACAGAAGACAGAAGCACAGCAGGGCCAGTCCAGCTCCCAGAAGTACCTGCAAATGGACTAAGCAAAAAAGGGGTTTCTTATAACAGCAAAATGAATACAAGAACAGCATTTCTGCTTAGTTTTTTTTTCTATTGCCTTTTGCAATATTATGTAAACATTAGCGTTAGTGCTTACTAAGAACTGCTACCATCAAATCTCAACATAAATTATTAATAAGCAGAAGCAGACAGATGAAGAAAAATCGCAATAGTAACAGACTTTATTTTTCTGTGTTTGAAGTTGTCTATATAAGAAATGGTTGCAACTTAATGGACTTTATAGGCACTTAAACATCAAAGAATATTGTAAAATCTCAATTCTCTTTATTTACAAATCACATGGTTACAACGAGACAAGCACAATAGTGTCTATAGATGATGTCTATAGATTATTGTCTATAGATGATGAGCACAGCATGCAGTTAAAAGATGTAGTGAAAAGCTTTATAACATCAGAAGACCGATATTATCTCTGCTTTAAAGAGCAAAGATAGAAGATTGTCAGCATAGCTTTTTATAGTCAGAACTACAGTTTTCCCAATAGTGAGAGTTGGACTATTTGAATTGCTGGAAATTTTTTTGTGTTACTTAAAGATAGTCAGAAATCCTTGCACTTAAAGAAAATTATTTTGGTAATCACATAAGAAATTAAGCCTATATTACTCATTGGAATACTTAGCAAAACTAAAATGTGAGTAATTTAGCCACGTTAGGCAAAATCTGCACTATTTGGAGGGGACCGCCTTAAGCTAGCCATACCTGGTTTTAATCTTGGCCGGTTCAGCAGGAATAATCACTGTCTTCTCCCAGAGGGGACAGCTGTCCCCGACTTTTACATATAGACTTTTAACTTTGCTTCTATACATCTGCCATTGTTTGCCTCTCCAGCGCCATTTATTTTTCTTGATTTGAAAACATTGAGGTTTAGTGTGTGACTATGGTAAGTGGTATATGAGGCAGCTTTCACACTGGGTACAAAGTGTCCTTTGCCTCCCTGACCTCTATGGGGGGGAATATTGTGTGGTGGGTCTTATACTGAAGTCACGGTGTGGAGAGAGCTGATCAAGTGGGAAGTCTATGCCGTAATAAGGGGTTAGTGGTGAGTAGATGAAGAGCATAAGTGGGCATAATTGAGGGAGAGGCATGGGAGGGGGCAGACTGCAGGGGTTAAGAGAGAGGCAGTAGGAAAAAGAGGAGAGGAAGAGAGGTGAAGGAAGGTGGAGAGAGTTGGAAGTCTGCTCTCTCGAGGGTTGCAGAGGAATTGTATCTCCTAAAAGACCTAACCTGCATGACAAGGAACTCAAGAGTTCAGTACAACAATGGTACCTAGCAGTTACATTCATGTTTAGATGAGATGGCAGTTGACATCGACTATAAACATGTCACCGTAGACTTGAAATATGACCATGGAATCCAGGTGGACCTGAATTTTTATTTAGTGTTTTTAAACAAGAACATTATGTCTTCCATTTGGTAAATGTCATTTAAAAATTTGAACCAAAGTTCTTTAGTTGGAATGCAGGCCTTCTTTAATTGCAGTGGGAAGCATGATTGCGCTGCCTTGATGAGATTTATGGTTAAGGAGGCGTTATACTTAGAGATGGGCCTGTCATTTTTAAGGAGTTATGTGGCTGGACTGCTTAATTTGTTTTGCATGAAAACCACATATTGTTACATTCTACCAAAATGAATTGCCCAAGAAACCATTATTTTCTGCTAAAAAATCTAATTCCAGAATCGCCTGTAGAGTTCTATAAATAGGCTTTGAAATATGCAAACCGCAATGGAAGAGCAGCTATGCTTTGAAATATAGCAAACCTCAATGGTAGAGCAGCTGAAAAAATGTAATGAAATGATCTATTCAAGTTCCTAACCAGAAATCAGATGAGATTTTGGGGAAAGACCACAAAGTAGTGCTGTTTGTGCTAAAAATCATTAAAATATGGCACATGACAGACTCCGGCAAATACAAGAAGAGAAAGGTGGAACGAACACAATTCAAATGTGAAGGATAATTATACATCTTAATGGTGTTATTGCACATTTCATTCTATTCCAAATCAAACAATAATAGGGACTCTCTCTTACAGGCTACAGTCATACACTGAAGGAACTGAGCAAAAAGCTACAAACATGAGACAGACCAGAATGGGAAAATCCTTTTTTCACAGTATTGTTTTTACATAGATTACCAGGTTCTTTGAAATGCGTTTTAAATAGCTACCTTTTGGCTGATTACAGTGTATTTTACCCTACATATTTAGGTTTTTCTATGTGTGTGTTCACATATGTATATTTTATAATTCATAGTGTATATAGAAGTTTCATGTACTTCTTATATCTGAAGTCCTTGGTTGATCCCGCCAGTCACCTTTCTTCCTTGTTCTAAACTGACCACACAAAGCACAGAATCTGATCTGTGATTGCATGGCTAGTCTTTTCTTTTTGGCTGGCCATTCAGAGGTACAGGACACTGTGCAGATGCAAAGCATGCCTGTATTGGCTAGTTTGTTCAGCCACCACAACCTCTCAGCCAAGTACAGCTTTCCTCAGGCACACACCCACTCCCAATCACAGCCTACCTCTTGAGCACGCCCCCTGTCCAGACAGAGCCTGCATCGTGCCTCAGGCTGAACAGCCTGTGGAATACACCCATATTTGAAATATATTTTAAAAATATTCTTCCCAAATATATTGACATATATTTCAAATGCTACAATTTTGCCCATATTCAATATATATATATAGTTGTCAGACATCACTAACCTGATCAATCACTGTTTTTGGTAGAAATGATATTTTCTACATGGCAAATAATTTACTAGCAGGTGTAGTAGAGTAATAGAAATCCAACAGACCCAACAGTCATGACATGCATGCTGCTGATTCTGTGTAATGGAATCACTAATTGAAAGGGGCATGTTCAAAATAATAGCAGTGTGGAGTTCTATTAGTGAGGTTATTCATTCTTTGAAAAACAGGTGGCAATTATTGCCCTTATTTAAGGAAGGAAGGCAGCAAATGTTGTACATGCTGGTTACAGTGCATTTCTCTCTGAAATTCTGAGGAAAATGGGTCGTTCCAGACATTGTTCAGAAGAACAGCGTACCTTGATTAAAAAGTTGATTGGAGAGGGGGAAACATATAAAGAAGTGCAGAAAATGATAGGCTGCTCAGCTAAAATGATCGCAAATGCTTTAAAATGGCAACCAAAACCTGAAAGACATGGAAGAAAGCGAAAAACTACCATTCGAATGGATAGAATAGCCAAAATGGCAAGGACTCAGCCGACAATCAGCTCCAGGAAGATCAGAGAAGGTCTAAAGTTACCTGTGAGTACTGTTACAATTAGAAGACGCCTATGTGAAGCCAAGCTATCTGCAAGAAGTCCCACTGTTGAAAAAAAGACATGTGCTAAAGAGGTCATAATTTGCCAAAGAGCACATTGACTGGCATAAAGAGAAATGGCGCAACATTTTGTGGGCTGATGAAAGTAAGATTGTTCTTTTTGGGTCTAGTGGCCGGAGACTGTTTGTCAGACGACCCCCAAACACTGAATTCAAGCCACAGTACACTGTGAAGACAGTGAAGCATGGTTGCGCAAGCATCATGATATGGGGATGTTTCTAATAATATGGTGTTGGGCCTATTTATTGCATACCAGGGATCATGGATCAGTTTGAATACATCAGATTACTTGAAGAGGTCATGCTGCCTTATGCTGAAGAGGAAATGCCCTTGAAATGGGTGTTCCAACAAGACAACGACCCCAAACACACCAGTAAACGTGCAACATCTTGGTTCCAGACCAACAAGATTGACGTTATGGAGTGGCCAGCCCAATCCCCGGATCTTAATCCAATAGAAAACTTGTGGGGAGACATCAAAAATGCAGTTTCTGAGGCAAAACCAAGAAATAGAGAAGAACTGTGGAATGTAGTCCAATCATCCTGGGCTGGAATACCTGTTCACAGGTGCCAGAAGTTGGTTGACTCCATGCAACACAGATGTACAGCAGTTCTCAGAAGCAGTGCTTATACAACTAAATATTAATTAAGTGATTCAAAGGAAAGCAAAATCTTCAAACATTTGTCAGTTATATAGTGAATGTTTGAGTTTGTAAAGAAGAATACAAACACTGCTATTTTTTTGAACAGTCTAATATTCACTTTTCTTCAATTTTTTTAGAGGAACAACACAAATTTGATATATTTTTCTTCATGTTTTGATTTGGAATAGAATGTGTAGTGTTCCCAATGCATTTGTGTGTATGGAAATAAAAGCTATTAGAAGGATTTTGAGCTTTATTCACTTTTTTCACCACACTGCTATTATTTTGAACACAACTGTGTATATATATATATATATATATATATATATATATATATATATATATATATATACATATACAGATACACACACACACACACATATATACACACACACACATATACACACACACACATATATACACACACACATACACTGTATGTTGAAATGCGCTTTTATATTACAAAATATATGAAAAATATTTTAAAAATAAAGTTCAAATATACTGTATGCCTTTAAAAATACAAATCTACATTTTTGGAATGCATTCACAACTATATGTAAAAATATGTTAAAATTACCTTTTCATATGTTAAAAAAAATCTGAAGAATATACTTAAAAATATATATTTTTAAAAATTATTCTTCAGAGTTTTTTAACATGTAACAAAGTAATTTAAACATATATTTTTACATATATTTGTAAATTCCAACAATGTAGATTTGTATTTTAAAGACATAAAGTATATTTGAAATTTATTTTTAAAAATATTTTTCATATATTTTGTAGTAAAAACTCTTTTCAACATACAGTATATATATATATATATATATATATATATATATATATATATATATATTGAATATGACCACAATTGTATCACAATTGTATCATTTCAAATATATGTCAATATATTTGGGAATAATATTTTTTTCAATATTTTTCTTCCATGTGGGCAGGCACACAAT